AGATAGATAGATAGATAGATAGATAGATAGATAGATAGATAGATAGATAGATGATAGATGGATAGATAGATAGATACATACATACATACATACATACATACCTAGATAGACAGATATATACATACATACATACATACATGCATACACAGACAGACAGACAGACAAACAGACAGACAGACAGATAGAATTAGCATTTCTTAATAAAATAAAGCAATAGAATAAAAGATTAACAATTCACGACACAACCATGAACTTTGAACAGAGAAATCCCAACACTCTGCAGAGCCAGGCAAGACAACTGTTTCTCAGGGTGGCCACCAGGTGGCAGTTTGCTCCTCACTGAAAAGGCTTTCATGGTGACAATTAGTTACACATACTGACAAAACAAATCCTTCCTGTTTTAGGGAGTCCTTGAAGGCTGGAGGGTGAGCTCTGGGCCTCAACCACTTTCTGTGAATTCTCTTTCTGATTTCTACAGAGTGTGGTTCTCGGGATCACATCCTAGGACGCAACAACAGATGCATGCCCTAAAAGCTGCCTTAGGGTTCATCTCCACCAACCAGGAGAGTGAGGCATTCCAGAGCTGAGTCCCACCACAGGGCTGGCTCTAGTCAGTTTGTGGTTGTGAACCATGTCCTGCTGCAGGAACCTCTGGTCTGGGCTGCTTAATGCAGACCAAACAAATGATTAGCAGTGTTTATCTGCTACCCTATTGGCACCATACACTTGCAGGTTCTCCAATATGGAGAATAAGTGGGTCTTTATACTATAGAAGATAAAATTGCTCCTATCCTCCCACAGTGTCCCTGTCACACTCAATCAGGTCCTCAGGATGTAAATGTAGACAGTCCCAGGGGGATCCCTTTCACTTTCTGTGTTCCACCATTGTCAGGAGTCATAATGGACAAGCTAATAATTAGCAGCTGATCATCCTGAAATGGCTTGCCTTGGATTATTATATAATCTGTGACAGGTGCGACCTTTTTCAGCAAGGCTGTAAGGGACTCATTTTTAGGAAAGATTCCTGCTATTAACATGCTTTTCCTATCATTATTATTATTATTAATTATTATTAAACAAACATAACAATCACTAAGCAGTAGCACACCCCTTTGGAGCAGATCTCTGCAGATCCATGAAGATGTACTGTCTTGTGGTGATGCTATATAGACAAACAGATGCCTTCTTAAGTCTTAATGATGATTCTGTAAGAGTTCCTAAAATTATATCAATGATTATTAAGCTCTTTTATAGTGGGACTGCTATTAGGTCCCTTTCTGATAGTCAAAACTGCAAAGAGATCTCTGCCAGTCTCCCAAGTGTCATCAGTTAATTGCTCTTAGATTGTAACCAGACTTTTTCCTAATCAGAGCACATTCCAAGAAGTTGTAAAACAATTAACCTAAGGTCATAAAAAGGGAACTAATGATTTATTCTAGGTGCTAGGACAGAAAATAAAATATTGCCTGGGCTTATCTATACAAAACTTCGATAATAACTTATAGTTTTAAACCTTCAGTGAACCTGTGGAGCTAGACAGGTGATGGATGTTTAGCCAGATAATTACTCCTAGTGGATATGCATGTAAACATTCTCTGTTGTAAACTTCTATTTCAATTTATGATTTGATTTTTGGTGTGAACTTGTGACGAACTTTGTAACATGTGATCAGGTATTCTGAAAGATGTATAAGTACTGAAGACAAAGAGAGGGTTGTTCGTCCCTTCCCTTCCTTTTCCCCTGTCTAGAATTTTTTCCCTTAGAATTTTTCCCTTATTAGAATTTTTTGCTTTTTCCCACTTAGGACCTTTCTGTTTTCCCCCTTAGATAGCTTTCATAGGAAACTTTTTACACTTAGGAATAAAATTTATAATAACTTCTCTACCTGTCTTTTCTTCCTGTGACCTCAGACTAGCAGGCATAAGTTAGAGCCCAGCTGTCCTACTGAGATAGAACAAAGGCCACACTGCCTAATCCGCCTCTGTTAGGCTACAGGTGTAACTCACCCAAACCTGCAGTCTTTTACCCTCAGAAGTTTTTAGGACTTTTTAGAACTTATCATCAGCATTTCAGTATAGGTCAGAGAGCCAGAAAGCCCTGAGATGCTCAGACTTTAAAGCTGTCACTAGAATACCACTCTGTGCCCCTGCCACTACCCTCTTCTGGCCGGGAGACTCTTGACACACCATTTGTAAGAGTTGCTACTGAACCTTAGACCCTTCATAAACTTGCCACCATCAACGGTTAGGGTCTTGTGTCCTGGCACTGCTGCTCTGCTCGGATCCAGCCCTGTGTTTCCTAGCTCCCCTAACTGGGTCCTGAATGTCTCTCCAAGGCACCTGCTTCAGTGAGCTTTAAGAGCCCTTGTATTTGGTTACCAGGGAGACACAAACCACCCAGGTTTCCGGTGCCTCCCACATCCACTGCAGCTAACACACATTAGTGCATTCTGCAGTGTGACCAGAGCCACATGCAGTTCTTATGGCCCTTGTTGGATCAGATTTGCACAGGAGCTGTAAACAATCCAGTTTGGGCCACTGAGGTGTGCGTCAAATGCTGCCTCCCTCACCCCAACTCTCCCATCAGGGACCTGCCTTCTTCAGTCTTGCAGTGAAGCCGAGAAGTCATGAGTGCCAAGTTCACACAGAGCACTGAACCTCAGGTATACAGCACTTGCCCATCATTTGTGAGGTCCTTGATTTGTCCCCAGCTAGAAAAAGGGGACACACAAATGACATGCGAGCCTTCTTGGCTATGGGCATGGTTTATTTCAAACATCTCAAAATTGAGTAAGAACTTATCAGGTCAAAGATTTTTTTTTAAAGATTCATTTATTTTTTATGTATACAGTGTTCTGCTTCCATGTATGCCTGCAGGCCAGAAGAGGGTTTGTCTTCAGAAATGGGGCCCTGCTGTCAATTTCTGGAGAGGCAACAGCCTGGATTCTTTGAGGATTTTCCTAAGACCCTTTTGGTCAATAATTCAATTGGATGTAACCCAGTTCTGGTACTTGAAGCTTCATTTGGTGGCAAGAACTGGCCAGTTGGGGCTCCGTCTCCCTCATTATTTAAAGACTTCATAGTTTAGGAAGTTCCCACTACATTAGGTTTCCCTTCTGCCCCTCAATTCTAGCTGTCTCTCCCCACACTCTGTTCCTCAATCTCTTCTCCCCTCTCCTCCCACCTAATCATCCTGCCCTTCCCCCCCCACCTGATCATCCTGCCCTCCCCCCAACCTGATCATCTTGCTCCTGTGCAACCCCCTCCCCGGCTCCAGTCCAGTCTATCCTACTTTCCCTTCCTGGGAGATCCTCGTGTCCCTCCCTCTATGCCTGACCTCTCTGGGTCTAAAGACTGTAGCTTGGCTACCATTTATTTAATGGCTAATGTCCACATATAAGTGAATATATACCGTATTTACCTTTCTGATGATCCGGTGATTTTAGCATATTGAGATAGAAGCGTTCCATGGTGGAGTTACATTATAACCAACCATCTAATAACTACCATTTGTAAAGTTACAGTGTTGTATGTTTACACAGAACTGAGTACTAAACAGAATCCTTCTGTGGACTGGAGAGATGGCTCAGGGGTTAAGAGAGCATACCTACATCATGCAAAGAACCTGAGGTCAGTTCCCAGCAATCATGAGGCAGCTCACAGCCACTGAAACTCCAGCTCCAGGGAATCTGACCCGCTGTTTGGTCCTCCTCAGGCCCTGCACTCATCTATCCACACACAGACACGCATGCAAACATAATTTATAGAATAACTACAACTTGATATGCCAGGGCTGGCTGATACCCACTGGGAAGCCCTCCTTTTTTGAAGAGAAATGGGGGAGTGGGTGGGGTAGGGGAAGGACTGGGAAAAGAGGAGGAAGGGGAAACTGTGGTCAGGATGTAAAGCTGATTAATTAACTAATTAATTAAGCCGAAGCTTACACAGACTCTGCAACAAGACTTGGAGAAACAGTGTGCCCAAGAACTTTAAGTGCCAGAGAAGACAGTTCGGTTAAAGCAGGTCATACACATGGCTCCTACTGCTTTCTCTTTCATAAAGAAACAAATGATGCAGTCTCAACTCTCATTCCTGTTGGACGCCTAGTTTCTAAAGAAGCCAATCAGAGACGCACAGGTTCTAAAGTACCCAGTCAACAGAAACACAATCCACATTCAGGCTCTTCACAGACCCAGGGGTGAGAATGTTGCTATTACTATATTCAACCTACTTGCTCCTGCTGCTGGTCAGCGCCAGGAAACTGACTCAGACAGGTAAGAGGGGGGAGGGGTCCCGAGCGAAAAAGACTCTGCGAGGAATAGTGGAGGGAGGGTGGTGGTGGCAGGGGTGCAGCACTCCAAGTTCCGCCGCCCTGTCCTAGTTCCTTCCCTGCCTTCACCTGGGACCCTGAGCCTGGAGGAGGTCGGGATCTCACCGTGCGCCGCCCCCAGGCTCACACTCGCTGCGGTATTTCCACACCGCCGTGTCCCGGCCCGGCCTCGGGGAGCCCCGGTTCATAGTCGTCGGCTACGTGGACGATACGCAGTTCGTGCGCTACGACAGCGATGCAGAGAATCCGAGGATGGAGCCGCGCGCGCCGTGGGTGGAGCAGGAGGGGCCGGAGTATTGGGAGGAGGAGACACAGAAAGCCAGGAACATGGGGAGGAACTTCAAAGAGAACCTGAGGACCCTGCGCCGCTACTACAACCAGAGTGACAACGGTGAGTGACTGTGGTCGGGATCACAGACACCATCCCTCCATGTCCCCTGAGACGGGCCTGGGTCATCTTCATCCGCTGGGTCGAAGTTTCATCCAAACACCTTCCCAAAACCTCAGACAAGAAAGCCCTGGCAGAGTTCTGCTCAGGTTTCAGTTGCACTTTTGTTTTTGAAAGTTCTGGGATAGCCACTGACAGCGGGCAAGGTGGACGTAGGGGGAGCTGATCAGCGTATCCCTTCCAGAGCCTCACACGCTGCAGTGGATGTATGGTTGCTACATGGGGCCCGATGGGCGCCTGCTCCGCGGGTATTGTCAGGAGGCCTACGATGGCCGCGATTACATCGCCCTGAACGAGGACCTGCGCTCCTGGACCGCGACTGACTTGGTCTCACAGATCTCTAAGCGCAAATCAGAGGAGATTGGTGAGGCCCACCACCAGAGGGCATACCTGCAAGGTTCTTGTGTGAGGTGGCTCCGGATATACCTGGAGCTGGGAAAGGAGAAGCTGCTGCGCTCAGGTACCCTGGAGACCTCTCAGTTTTCCTATGGGGTTTGGGGGAAAGGCTTGGGGTATATAGAACTCAGGGGCAGAATGCTGTCCAACAGGCGCAGCGCTTAAGAGGAGGGAGACTCCCAAGGCTGCTTTTCCCCTGTAGGGAGACTAATCCTTAACACAAGCAGATCAGCCTTGACTATGGCCCTGAACCCATGGGGAGCTTTTTCTCAGGCCTCCCTCTAAGCCCTACTCAGGGTCTCTAGAGTCAGACTCCAGCTTTTCTCAGTCAGATGGGGACCAGAAGCCCTTCCCCCGAGTCTGCAGAGACCTGGAGCCTCCTGCCCCATATTGTCACACTCATATCCCAAAGAGTCCCAAAGAACTGACCTCCCAGTGCACGTGCAATAGCTGGGGTGTAGATCATGGACACCCTAATCACACCCCAGTTCTCCTCTACATCCCAGGATGGTCCCATGAACACTGCTGAATCCCCAGAAGAAAGCAAGATGCTTCATCCTTTCAACTCTCTCCCTCAGACCCCCCAAAGACACATGTGACCCATCATCCCAGACCCGAAGGTGATGTCACCCTGAGGTGCTGGGCTTTGGGCTTCTACCCTGCTGACATCACCCTGACCTGGCAGTTGAATGGGGAGGACCTGAGCCAGGACATGGAGTTTGTGGAGACCAGGCCTTCGGGGGATGGAACCTTCCAGAAGTGGGCATCTGTGGTGGTGCCTCTTGGGAAGGAGAATTACACATGCCATGTGGAACATGAGGGGCTGTCTGAGCCTCTCATCCTGAGATGGGGTAAGGAGGGTGTTGGTGCAGAGCTGGGGGTCAGGGAAAGTTGAAACCTTCTGCAGACCCTGAGCTGGTCAGGGCTGAGAGCTGTGGTCATGACCCTCACCTTCATTTCCTGTCCCTGTCCTTCCCAGAGCCTCCTCCCTCCACTGACTCTAACATGGTGATCACTGCTGTTCTGGTTGTCCTTGGAGCTGTGACCATCATCGGAGCTGTGGAGGCTTTTGTGGTGAAGAAGAGGAGAAACACAGGTAGGAAAGGGCAGTGTCTGAGTTTTTTCTCGGCCTCTTTGAAGTGTGCTCAACTTATTAATGGGAAACAGATCCACACCCCGAATTGCCTAGTCTCTGCTGTCAGTTCTGGTCACTTCCCAGGGCTGGTGTTTCCCGGGTCTCTCACAGCTTTTCTTCTCACAGGTGAAGAAGGAAGCTATGCTCATGTTTCAGGTAAGTGTGAGTGTTGGGAGGAGGGACAGGGGGCACCCTTGTCCCTGAGGCCCTTGGGATGGAGCTGGAGCTCACAGGGAGTTCAGCCGGCCCATAATTCTCTCTTCCCTCGTCCTCTCTGTCTCCTGAGTATGTCTTGTTATTTCTTCTACTGCAGGCTGAAAGGCTTACCATATCTGACTGGCCTCAGAAGGCATGTAAAGGTACAAAAATCCCTGGGGGCCTGGGATTGGACCTGAGGCAAAGGGGAGAACACTGGGTCCCAGGGCCTTCCAAATTTAGTCATTTGAATGACTGGGCATCTTTATATTGACTGTTCATGAATCTTGTTCTATTGCTTCAGACAGTTGCCTCGTGGGGCTGAGTGACAAGTTCTAACTCTCTGAGGATGTTGCTTTCCCCTGTGAGGACATTTGAAGAACTGACAAGCCCAGCCCTTCCTTGCCTATCTGGACACCTGATTTTATAACAGAAAATTATAATCTGATTCTTGGCTGGTTTCCTGCTGTTTTTATCTGTTCTGAATGAATATGCAGTTTTCAGCAAGGTAATGCAACATGGTTGTGCAGTGGTAGTGACACTGGGCAGATGTTTGTAAGCTGGGTGTGTGGTGTGCTTTTGTTATTGTAGGAAGAACATGCTGTGAGCCCACCATCCATCCTATGGTCATCGTTTTAAAACAAAATAAAAATGGCTGGAGAGATGGCTCAATGGTTAAGAGCACTGCTTTTCCAGAGGTCCTGAGTTCAATTCCCAGCACCAATATTGCAGCTCACTGTTACACAAACGGTCCATGTCTCACACAGACACGAATGCAGATAAAGCACCAACACACATAAAATTAAATCTTTTTAAAAAATAAGAGGTCTGCGGACTGGACAAATGATATTTGTCTTTGTAAATGTTCTGATGGTAGCTGTGAACTACTCACAGCCTCACAGCAGTTTCTGTTGTTTGGTGTTAAACATCTGTCTTGGTTATTTTTCTCCTTGCTGTGATAAGACACCATGACCAAGGCAACGTATAGAAGAGTTCGTTGGGGGCTTAGAGTCCATGGCAGGGAACATGGCAGCAGTCTGTCAGGCACGGTGCTGGAGCAGTAGCTGGCCACTTGTATCTTGATCCACAACCAGGAGACAGAGAATGATGAATAAAAATGGCGCAGTAGGGGTTGGAGAGATGGCTCAGCGGTTAAGAGCACTGACTACTCTTCCAGAGATCCTGAGTTCAATTCCCAGCAATCACATGGTGGCTCACAACCATCTGTAATGGGATCTGATGCCCTCCTCCAGTGTGACTGAAGACAGCTACAGTGTACTCATATAAATAAAATAAATCTTTAAAAAAAATGACTCAGCAGACAACAAAGAAGTAATTTCAGACAAGAATCTAAATTTTAGGCTAGAACAAAGAAGTAGGCTTCAGACATGAAAATGTCTTTGAGCTAGGACAGGGAAATAGGCCCAGATACTTTGTTCATCCTGATAAACCTTTAGAAACAGTGATCACGGGAGTGTTCACAGAATTGAGTTTAATGCCTTGCTTTTTCTTTGACTATTTGTGTTTACTGTCTTGCTTGTTCCTTGACTATTTGCATCTATTGTATTGCTAGTTCCTCAACCTAGAACTGACCTTAATACATGCATGTAATCAAAATGGTATAAAAGCATAAAGGAAGAGGGGGTATAGGATAGGGGTTCTAGGGAGGGGAAATGAGAAGAGGGGATGACATCTGTATTGTTAATAAATAAAATATCCAATAAAAAAAAGGCTCAGCAGGCTTTTTAAACCTTAAAGCCCACCCCCAGTGATATGCCTCTTCCAACATGGCTGCTTCTCCTCACCTTCTAAAAAAGAATTCCACCAACTGTGACACTTGTGAGGAGTAACAATTCAACCTGGGGCCCGCCAGTCACACACGGGTGTAGTGTGGCAACACGAGAGTGAGCTCCACCTCACCTCCCTCCAGCCCTCAGATCTCCGCACTCCTCAAGGTTTCTGTCATTTCTCTCTTGGCGCCCCAGCCTGTGTGAATCCAGCTATGTATTTCTTAGTCCTCTAACTGGGCCTTGAAGGTTCTTCCTGTACCTCCCTCCTTCAGAGGGCTTGCATACTTGGTTAGCATGGCGGTTCAAACCAGTCAGATCCACAGTGATTCTGGTCCATGTGAGCTATGCCCACCAGTGCATCACTGCTGTAAACAAAGGCCCGTGCAATTGATTTAGTTTATGTATTTGTACACACTGTAGCTGTCTTCAGACACAACAGAAGAGCGCATTACATCCCATTACAGATGGTTGTGAGCCACTATGTAGGTGCTGGGAATTGAACTCAGGACCTCTGGAAGCAGTCAGTGAATGCTCTTAACCACTAAGACATCTCTCCAGCCCCAATTTTTGGTCTTTTCAGATAGAGTTTCACTATGTAGCTTTGGCTGGCTAGGAGCTCACTGTGTAGACCAGGCTGGCCTCAAACTCGGAGAGATCTGCCTGCCTCAGCCTCTTGAGTGCTGGGGATAAAATGAGTGAGCCACCATGCCTGGTGCTATGGCAATTCTTTCAGCCCTTGTTGGATCAGCATCTCCCAGGTAAACACAGTCCAGTCTGGACCGTGGGATTGTACATAAAGTGCTACCTCCCTCATTCCCGATTCCCAGCAGAGACTTGCCTTCGTCTGCAGTTTCCCATGGGACAGGAAAGTATCATGGATATGGAATATAAACTAATCCATCAGATCAAGGCTTCTAAAACTTTCTACTTATGACTTCTTTCCTGCCAAGATATCTTCACATGGCCTTAGGCTTTGGGGAGTATAAAGCAGATATACAAATCAAACACAGATAATAAAACAATTTATTTCAAAACAAATTATTTGTGCTGTGGTGGTGGCACATACCTTTAATCCGAGCACTTGTGGGACAGAGGCAGATGGATCTCTGAGTTCGAGGACAGCCTGGTCTCCAGTGTGAGTTCCAGGACACCCAAGGCAACATAGCCTGGTCTCCAGTGTGAGTTCCATGACAGCCAGGGCAGCACGGAGAAACTGTCTTGAAAAACAAACCAAACAAACAAACAAAAAGTATTATTTGATATACATATATAATTTTTCACAAGTTATTACATTAAAGCAAATTTCTATATGGAATGCTCATTTTAAAGAAATTTAAACTTAGTCAGATGTGGTGTTGCATGCCTGCAATCCCAGCGCTTGAGAAGTAGAGACATAAGGATCAGAGGTTCAAACTCATCCTTATTTACAAAGTGGGTTCAAGGCCAGCCTCAGCTACTGAGCTACATGAGAAACTCTCTAAAAACAGACATGGGAGGAGTGGGGGATGATTAAATGTTGGCCAAGTATTTGATCCTGAAGGAACATCTTTGATGTTTTTCATAGTTACTGATAATTTGATTTTATAGTCATCAGTACTGAGAATGATACTTTGTATAAATGCATGGGACAAAATGACAGAAGTATATGTAAGGCCATTCAAAAAACAGGCCCTAATCCCAAGCCCAAAGTCACTTAACAACTTTGTTAACAAAATGAACAACTATGTTCATTTTTTCACTTGTTGTTTTTGTTTTGGTGTCTATTTTTTGAAACAGAGTCTCTCATGTACCCCAGGCTGGCCTCACATTTGCTCGGTAGCTAAGGATGTGCCATAATGCAAGCTTTACGCAGTGCTGATCACAAAATTCAGGGCTTCATGTGTTCTAATCGACTAAATCCCCAGCTGGAGCAGTTTGTTTTTGTCAGACTTAAGTCAGCAACTCAAATACCAAGTTTCAAAAGATTTTTACTATTTTGTGGGAGTGCTTGCTTGCATGTGTATCTGTGTACCATGTGTGTGTTCGGTGTCACGGGAGGCCAGAAGAAGCATCAGATCCCAGGACCTGGAGTTACAGCTGTGAGCCAGCATGTGAGTGATGGAGCTGAACCCACGCCCTCTCCAAGAGCAGTAGGTGCTCTGAATTGCTGAGTTATCCTTCCTTTAAAATCACCCTAACATAATGTAATCCAACATGCTTACACACTGAGGACAATACTGTATTTTCTGCAATTAGAACCCTATCTCCATGAGAGTACAAAACTCCGTGTACAGTAATACACTGCAATTCCTAAAGTGCGGTGGCTTCAAATCTGAGCTGAGGAACTCTGGGCATTGTTCCTTGGTATGTAGCGTGGGGTGGTGTTCAGAACCAAGGTTGCATTGGAGTCATGTGACATGAGGCAGAGTCATGTGACAAAGCCAGAGTGTGCACTGATGGGAACAGCTTAACCACCACACTTTTTGATTCCTAATTACTCTTTGATTACTGTGCACTCTAAGACCTTGCCTCGTCTATGGCCTACCACATTAGCTATGCAGATTCAAGATCCACTATCTAAGAGGTCTCATAGGATGGATTTTCCCTCATGTTGCTGCAAATCACCCTAGCAATGTGTTCTACTTTCCTTTTCTATTGCTGAGATAAAACACACCTCAGCCCAAAGACAAAGTAGGGATGGGAAAGTCTATCTGGCTTACAGTTCCAGGTTACAGTCAGTCCATCACGGAGGGAAGCCACGGTGGTGGAGCCTGAGACAGTCAAGAGAAATGAATGTGTCCACGCTGCCTGCTTGTCATTCCACACAAATGACAAAGGAGCTCACTTCAGACCCAGAGCAGTTCGGCAGGGCAAGGACCATGAAAGATGCTTGCTGACTGGCAGGCATGGCTCATGCCCAGCTACCTTTCTTATACAGCCTGGGACCTCCTGCCTAGGGGCGTGGTGCTGCCTAAGATAGCACCATCAATCAAGAAAACTCCCCATCAATCAAGAAAATTCCCCATGAATCAAGAAAATCCCCCAGAGACGTGCCCGCTGGTCAAACTGATGCAGGTAACTCCTCAGTTGAGATTCTGTTCCCCCCGAAGTTCTGGGTTGTGTCAAACTGGCATTTAAAGTTCACCACAACACAGTGAAGGGATGCGTGGGGTGACCTCCCCCGCAGCACCCACGACCACTCTCACATCCTGTAGACACGCCACCGGGGTTGCCCATAAGCCTGAATAAAAGTTTCCCCATAATTTTAATAGATCAGAAGGGGATACTTAGGGATACCAAAATTCCTTGTATGGGGCTGTTGCTAATGCTGAATTATAGATATTTTTTCTTCTTTAAGGGTCAAACTTTTAAAACATCTACGCTTCGTATCCCTGACCTCCCACTATCTGTATCTGTCTTCCCAAGGTGTCCATGGTTTTGGATCCCAGGATAAGCTCTCTAGCCCTGTGTGGACTTGAACTCTGTGGGGTTTTTCTACCCTACCAGCTGTACAATATGCAAGCTAGCATCTTTATCTTCCCTTCATATTTATGCTTTATCTGATGATGGATCGGATACTGCTGTTCTTAAAGTTCCTTCCTGTTAGCTTCCCCCCTTGGGCAACAGTCTGTACTCAGCAGAATATCCCACTGCTGATGGGGACACTGCACTTCCCTGCCATCTTCCCAAGCATGCTACTTCCAGGGACTACAAGCTCTCCGGTCCACTCAGAACTTCGAGTGCCGTGATAGCTCTCTCAATGAGGAACGACCTAGAATTACACAAGAAGAATCTCAATGAGGAACAGTCTACATTGGATTGGACGGTGGACATGTCAGTGGGAGGCTGTCTTACTATGCCCTCAGCAGTCCTCCATTCTATGGGTGGAAAGACAGTTGAGCGAGCAAACGAGCCTATATGTATGCACGCATTCTCTCTGCTTCTCACTGTGTGGCGTGGCTGGCTATTCTAAATCCCTGCTTCCTTGGCTTCCTGATATCTCTAACCTGGAATTATAAACTGAATAGAGTCCTCCCTCCCCCAGGCTTCTTCCTACCAGGACAGTTTATAAGAAACAGAAACTGAACTCAGGGTAATCTCCTCTCACACAGCACACCACGTTCTAATTCCAAGTTTGGACAGTAAAACGACTCAGAAAAGGTCAGCCTATGAGTAATGAGTAACTCAAGGCAGTGTGTGAATCATTGGATATGACCTTAGGTGGCTGCATCCCCCAAGTCCCACTACCCCTGGCTTACGGTTCTCTTTTATATGCACTAAGGGTTCTTAGGTATCTGTCAGTGGCAGCAAGCAGGGGAGGAGTGGTAGCTAATGGACTCTAGGAGGGCAGCTATCTATAGCTATCTCCCTGAGATATAGTTATCTCAGTTATATTTTCCAACAGGAAAATGTCAACAGTCCCCTCAATACAGTTCTGCTTATGTCCTTGCTTGGCCACAAGCTGGGGTCTCTGCTCAAGTCACCATGGCAGCTCCCGTCCCAAGTTCTCTCAAATTCACCTCTTAAAACCTTCTGTAAATCTTACATCTGTGCATACTTTGTTTACATGTATGTCTGTGCATCCCTTACATGCATGATGCTCTCAGAGGCCAGAAGAGGTCGTTATAGCCCCTGGAAATGGAGCTACAGATAGTTGTAAGCCTCCATGCAGGTGCTGGGAATAGAACTCAGGTCCTCTAGAAAAGCAGCCAGTGTTCTTAAACCACCGAGTCACCCCTCCAGCTCCTCACACTGGCTTCTTAATATTATTGCACAGTTATCACTTTATTTCCTCCATTCCCTTCTAATGTGGACAGAGACAGCCCTGGCTTTGGGAACTCACTTGGGAAACCATTATACATAAACGTTTGGAGAGCCTGCAGTTCCATGCAGTCACCCCTAAGTAGCCGCCAAATGGCAAAGGAAGAGCAGTGGGGATTTCTGTAGAAGCCTGGTTGGAAAGCTGATGTGCAAGACGGATCTTGGTAAAAGAAACAATGACTCCTTTGTCCCTTTGTTACTGAAGAGCATGTGCCTTCCTCCTCCTACTTTCCTCTCCCCAGGGGACCTGTGTGGAGGTCTTGTCTGTCCTGTCCCCACTCCAAAATCAACGTCAAGATAATTCATCTTTGGCACACGCATGACAAAGGAGGTGAGAGAGCTTGAGTTTAGACGCTCATTAGCCTGGGAGGACTGAAGACAGACTGCACAGGAGAAAAATGAAACAATGTGTCAAACTAATGCTTTACCCAGCACTTGCTGGGCCGTGCCTCCCACCCTCACTAGAGTTTTAGGCAAAGGTTCAAGGGAGTAATGTGAGGAGCCTCTGGGACCTTGCAGCCAGCTGTCATCCACAGCTTGACTCTTTGAGAATGCAAGAAGACAGTAAAATAAGGTCTTGAGATAGGGCACTGTTATGTAAGAGGAGATCTGGGCTGGTGAGGATGCCCCGCCCCCAGACACCCCCCCACCCTCAGCCTTCTCAAGTTTCACTTTCCAATTCTCAGGCTTAGGTTTCTTTTTCCCCACAAGCTGACAGGAAATTAACTGCCCATATCTCATCAGACCGTTAGCCTTGGTAGTAATTCCCTTTCCCTATTGAGACGTTTTGCCAGCTCAAGGTTTATTTGGGGGGGGGGAGTAGAGGTAGCGGGGGTAGGAGCATCACGGTTTTGTTTTGTTTTTTTTAAAGCGTTTGTTTTGTGTGTATGTCTGTGCAGGTGCATGCATAGCATAAATGAGTGCAGAGGTCAGAGGACAACGTTAGGGAGCTGGTTCTCTCCTTCCACGTGTGGTCCTGGGGATGAATGTGAGGATGAGGTCATCAGGCGTGGTGGTGAGAGTTCTTCCCCATGGAAAGAACCATCTCAGGGCCCCTCCTGTACAAGTTTTAGACATCTTCCCCCCCCACCAGCCCATCCTCAGCCCCTTTAAAGGAGTGGGAAACATCACCGATCACAGGTTTTAAAGGGTTTAATAATGTCCTTAACCCTTTAGCTCCTGTCCAATTATTCAATACTCTTTTGTAATACCAGTTAGACCCAGCAGTGTCCAACAGCAAAATTTCATGCTCCACAGTGTTCCGAACTGGTACCTACCCACACAGCCCGGGGGCTGTGAACGCACTAGCAGAAGCAGCTTGTGCTGTAGTTCTGTAGGTAAAGGGTTGACTTTGAAGCCCAACAGTGACCTGAGTTTACTGCCTCATGGCAAGCTGAAGGCTGCAGCTGCTGACTCCCCGGCACTCCAAAGGGCCTGGTGGGATTGGATGGAGGCTAAGACAGACCCTACCTATCTCCTCTCTGCCAAGGAAGTCAGGAAGGGCCCACAGCCAAAAGGCCTCTTCAAACTCTTCTTTGAAGACCTGGAACTCCACCATGTAAAGATGGAAGTGTCCTCAGACCTCTCCATACATGCTATGACACACATGTCACACAACCCCATTACCAACACAACAGTGACAAAGTCAAAAAAAAAAAAATTAAAAACCTAACCAGTTGCTCTTGCTCTGCAGCAGGATAAGAGAGACCAAAACTAAGTTACAAGAAAGACAGTGATGGCTACTCAAGCAAGGCAAGGCCTTCAATCAAACCCAAAGCCCACTGACATGGCTGGCCAGCTTGATCTGGGGAATCTCGTGTCTACCTCTGGAGTTTAGCCTCTGTAGGCTGACATGCTCATGTAGTGAGAATTTTGGCATTTTGGTTTCCTTAAAAACACAGAACTCTTATACAAATGTGTTTTTGTTTTTAGTCCCAGGTATAGGGACATGGGGCTGCTTTGAGGCATCTGACCATGCCTCCTGCTCTAGCAGGGGTATAACTCTGCCAACTGCAGTTTCTGCAATTGTGTGACACTCGGAATTCTGGGGACTCTTCGGAGGGCAGGTTGGGCTGTTGGTTGCTGTTGGTCTCTGTTTGTTAAGCAGTTGTTCACAAAGAAGAAACATGAAAAAGAAATAGATATCCTGGCTGAGAAGATCAAACTCGCCCCAGGGAGCTCACTGCCCCTAGTCAGCAGGAAGTGGTCAGCAGGAAGTGGTCTAATAATATTGTCACCCCTTTGCAACCCATGACTTTATTCGGGGATCTCTTTCCTTTCCTCTCCTTTTCCCCCTCCTATCTAGTGTTTGGGGGTTAAAAGGGACAAAGAGAAGGGATGTTGAAGGTGAAAGAAAGAAGAACCCCAGCTCCAGCTCTCATGCTCACATGGCAAACACAAAGCCATCTCCCTAGCCCCTTGGTTGGGTTTTTTTTTTTAATACAAAAATATATCTAGGGCTGGAGAGATTGCTCAGTGGTTAAGAGCACTGATTGCTCTTCCAGAGGTACTGAGTTCAATTCCCAGCACCCACATGGTGGCTCACAACCATCTGTAATGGGATCTGATGCCCTCTTCTGGTGTGAGAGAAGACAGCTACTTATATACATAAATAAATATTTTTTTAAAAAAATTAAGTATTTAGAGTGCTCAGTTTGATCTATCTAAAGTCTCTAAACAAAACAAAGTCCTACAATCACAGAGGAAAGAAAAAAATGTTTGGTAAAAAATGTGTTCAGAATAAAATTTGAAATTTTTAGTTAAATAAATTTTAGACAGGGAACCTATAGCTCAGTGGGTGAGCCGTCTTGTCAGCCACTGAAAGCTCTTTGTCAAGTATTACGCTCCTAAACTCCGCAAACCATGCTGAAACAACCTTATTTTTTTTCTATGTATTTCTAGTATTTTATTATAACAAAAAGCTGACTGATAAGACTTTAATATCTAGTGATCTGCTGTGTTTCCATGGTCAACTCTAAGCATCTTGTATAATAAAACACGTAGCGTTTGTCTTTCTGTGCCTGGGTTATCAGATATCCTGACTTCGAAGATCAAACTGCCCCAGTGAGCTCGACGCCTCCAGTCAGCAGGAAGTAGTCTCACGATGACGCCGTCCCCTTTCCAACCCGAGTTTATTCATTTAACATAAAGTTCCATCCAGTCTGTCAGGAATTGAAACATTCCTTTCCATGGCAGAATGCTACTTTTTATGTATGTGCGTGGGGAGTGGATTACGTGCATGTGGGCATGACACGTGTGCACACGTACAGGTGGGCATGACATGGTCTGTCTTCTTAAATGACTCTATACCTCATTTTCTGAGGCAGTGTCTTTCATTGAACCTGGAGCTCCTTAATTCAGATTCTCTGGCTAGCCGGCAAGCTCCGGCAAGCTCCGGCAAGCTCCGGCAAGCTCCGGCAAGCTCCGGCAAGCTCTGGCAAGCTCCGGCAAGCTCCGGCAAGCTCCGGCCAAGCTCCGGCCAAGCTCCAGCCAAGTTCCTGCAAGCTCCGGCAAGCTCTGGCGCTCCCCAAGCTCTGGCGCTCCCCCTATGTCTACCTGTGCGCTCACCTTGCAGCGCTGGAGATGTGGACTCAGGTCTCCATGCTTGCATGGCAGGCACCTCAGTCCTGAGCCGCCTCTTGGGACCTACCCTGTCCCTTGACAGGAACTGGGCCGGAGAGTAGTTATATCTGGTTTGGGGAACATCCATGTTGCTTCCCATGATAGCTACAGTCATTTACATTCTTATTTCCCCACATTGTCCCCGGTAGGTTATTTCCGTTATTGCTATTGCTACTTAGCATTCTGACTGAGCTGGGTCACTGTGGTGTGAGTGCATTTCTCTGAGAGTGAGTCCTGACTGTTACTCTTCATTCTTTTGTCCCATTTTACAGAATGTCAGATCCTTTGACCATTTTTCCTTTATCTTGCATTTTATTATTTTTTTTATTTTTTATTTTTATTTTTTTTTTTTGGTTTTTCGAGACAGGGTTTCTCTGTGTAGCCCTGGCTGTCCTGGAACTCACTCTGTAGACCAGGCTGGCCTCAAACTCAGAAATCCGCCTGCCTCTGCCTCCCAAGTGCTGGGATTAAAGGCGTGCGCCACCACCGCCCGGCGCATTTTATTATTTTTAGAGATATTTATTTTGGTTTTTCAAGACAGGATCTCTCTGTGTAGCCCTGGCTGTCCAGGAACTCACTCTTTACACAAGGCTGGCCTCGAACTCAAGAGCCTGCCTCTGCCTCTCAAGTGCTGCACCACCACTGCCTGGCTTATTTTTAAGCATGTGTTTGCATATGTGTCTGTGTATGTATCTGGACCTTGGGGTGACTGAGGAGTTCAGATGGGTACATTGGGGGCAGGAGTTCCAGGTAGTTATGAATGGCTGGACAGGGTGACTGAGGAGTTCAGATGGGTGCACTGGGAGCAGGAGTTCCAGGTAGTTATGAATGGCTGGACAGGGTGACTGAGGAGTTCAGATGGGTGCACTGGGAGCAGGAGTTACAGGTGGTTATGAATGGCTGGACGGGGTGACTGAGGAGTTCAGATGGGTGCACTGGGAGCAGGAGTTCCAGGTGGTATGAATGGCTGGTCGGGGGTGCTGGGAACCAAACGCCAGTCCTCTGCAAGAGCAGCACGTGCACCAAACTGCTGCACCATCTCTCCAGTCCCACTGCCCCTTTTACTGAGACAAGGTCTCATCTGTCTCCTGCCCTGCTCTGGAACTCACTATGTAGCCCACACTGGCCTAGAACTCATGGCAAACCTCTTGCGTCAGCCTCCTGAGTTCTGGATTAGTTAGGACAGTCCCTGGTCCTGCAGGTCTCAGTGCCTGATTGAGTACCATGTAAGGAAGCTACAGAGACAGGCAGTGACAGGCCTGTTGGAATCGGGATTTCCTGCCATGGGTACCATACAGAGCCTGGTCTTTGACCAGCTGGGACTAACGGGATGACCACCACACACTAGTAACTGCTGCTCTGTCTGACTGCAAAGATTCACAGATGATCAGAGGAAACAAACAGCAAAGACATTTTACCCTGAAGAGAGGATGAAAGAGATGACATGCTGCCTGGAGGGCAGGAAGGAGTTTGTACTTAAAATTTAAAGCAAACTTTAGTCTGTGTGTGCACACACGCACACACACTTGCACCCGTGAGTACCTGTGTGAGTTTATGTGCATCATGAACTGCAGGTGCCTGTAGAAGCTAGCTGAGAGCGATGGATCCCTTGAATCTGGAGTCACATATGGTTGGGAGCCTCCTGATGTGCATGCTGGGATCCGAACCTGGGTCCTCTGCAAGAGCAGGTAAGTGTTAAGCCGTCTCTCCAGCCCCTAATTAAACTTTTTAATTTTTTTTTTCTTAACTCAGCACACAAAGTAACGGATTTAACTGTGGCACCTCATGCACACTTATCATTCCATTCGGTTCTTTTTTACCTTTTCCTTCCATCTTCACTCTCCCTGGTTGTATGTGGTACAGCTTACAGCATAAGGGCAGTGAATGCCCTGCAGGCCAAACGCTAGGCTGGCAGCCAGCAAGCCCCAGTGATTCCCCTCTCTACCGCCCCAGGACTCGAGTCACTGGTGTGGCCCAACCTGGCTGTTTACACGGGTGCTTGAGATTTGAACTCAGATCCTTATGTTTCCACAGGGCACATATTGCTCTTCCTGCAGAGAACCAGACTCAATTTCCAGCATCCACATAAGGTGATTGACAATCATCTCTGACTCCATCTCCACGGTATCCAATGCCACATCCTTGGGTGCCCACCCAAATGTGGCACACACTGACACACACACTGTGGTGGTTTGAATATGTTTGGCCCAGGGAGTGGCACTATTAGGAAGTGTGGTCTTGTTGGAGTAGGTATAGCCTTGTTGGAGGAACGTGTCGCTATGAGGGTGGGCTTTGAGACCCTTCCCCTGGCTGCCTGGAAGACAGTCTTCTGGTTCCCTTTGGAACAAGATGTAGAACTCTCAGCTCCTCCAGCACCATGCCTACCTGGATGCTGCCATGCTTCCTGCCTTGATGATAATGGACTGAACCTATGAACCTGTAAGCCAGCCCCAATTAAATGTTGTCCTTTATAAGAGTTGCCTTGGTCATGGTATCTCTTCACAGAAATGAAAAACGTAAGACTAACACACACACACACACAAATTAAAAATAAAACAATTTGCTGGGCGGTGGTGGCGCATGCCTTTAATCCCAGCACTTGGGAGGCAGAGGCAGGTGGATCTCTGAGTTCGAGAGTTCGAGGCTAGCCTAGTCTACAGAGTGAGTTCCAGGACAGCCAGGGCTGCACAGAGAAACCCTGTCTCAAAAAAAAACAAAAAAAAATTATAATAATAATTCTTTTTTTCTAAAAGAAAATATAAGCCGGGCAGTGGTGGCACACACCTTTAATCCCAGCACTTGGGAGGCAGAGGCAGGCAGATTTCTGAGTTTGAGGCCAGCCTGGTCTACAGAGTGAGTTCCAGAACAGCCAGGGCTACTCAGAGAAACCCTGTCTCGAAAAACAAAACAACAACAAAAAAAGAAAATATAAAATAAAATCGTTTTAAAACAAAAAGTACCTAGTAAGAAGGAGAAAGAAAGCATCCAGCACACTAAGCTAGAACAGTGGATGCCTTGTCTGGGAGCCCTTGATGCTTTAGGTAATCCACTAAAATGAACGCAGGTAAACGAAAATGCAAGTTAGTTAACAACCAAGAAGTATAGAAGTGCAAATGTAGCTTTGACCACCACTTCCCTCCAACATCGGGGCAGGGGGTGTGGCTGGCGGGCTGCAGGAAAGTGCCAGAGCTCTTCAGTCCGTTCAAAAATAAACAAGCTGAGCTGCTGGCAAAATACCAGGAATCTCACACAGAGGGCGCAAGCCCCGTAGGGGGCTGGAGCCAGCAGATCCACATCCACAAAAGAAAGCCCTCATCCTAGTGGAGAGCTCTGCGGGAATCCCTGAAAAAGCAGCACCCCAAGCTCTTACTGGATTCGCCCTTAGCCCTTATCCGTTGAAAACACACTCCGCCCACATTGCTTTCAGTGACTGGTTCCTGTAAGTAGTTTCATTTCTCTAAAATCTAGTTTGTCAGGACAGGGAAGACTTAAAACTTAGTCCTGACACCATCCATGTGGGCTCTTATCTTCTGGGTCCTGAGCCTCCCCCAGGACGGCGGAGCCCGTAAGTAGTGTGGGGAGGTGGGCTGGGTAAATTTAAGGAAAACCTCTAACCGGGAACTTTGGGCCAATTAAGACTAAGTGTCACTTAGTAGCTCTGGCTGTCTTCGAACTCCCTGTGTAGACCAGGCTGGCCTTGAACTCACAGGAGTTGGGATTGAAGGCATGCACCACCCCTTTCCTTACATTCTAATGTGGTTTTGAGTATTTGCTTGTATGTGTGCATACATGCCAGAGGTCAAAAGAGGCATGAGGTCCCCTCCAGATGGTGGAGTACACCACGGTCTTCTGGAAGAGCAGTGAGTGCTCTTAACAGCTGAGCTGTCTCCCCACTAACCTTCCTACTTCTGCGAACTGCATGTTTACTTATAAAGTATACACTGTGTACACTGCAGTGTAAATTTATTCATATGCATGTTTGTGTGTGCTCATGTATGTAGCCTGCAACCCATACTACAGCCCAGATGTGTAGGTCAGAGGACAACCTAAATTGGGTCAGGTCTCCTTCCACCATATGGTGGCATCAGGTGCCCTTACTGGCTGAGCAGTCTGTCTCCATGGCATTATCATTTGTTAAAGTTAAGTTTGGATTCTTCCTGCCAGCCCCAGGCTCACAGAAATAAGACTCAGACTCAAATTATATTTACAGATACCTTGGCCATATAGCTAGACTCTATTCTGACTAGATTATAACTAACAGTACACATTTATTTTAAGCTGCCATGTGGCTGGTTACCTGTGCTCAGGTACCATGTGTCCATGTGTCTGTCTCCTCACCTTTTTTTCAGGCTCTTCTCCCCACTCCTTCTCTCCCAGAATTCTTTCTCCTCCTCATGTTCCACCTCTTATTTCCTGCTTAAGCCATAAGCTTTTAAGTTGACAGGTAAGGCATCCATACAATACACAAGATGACCTCTCTACAGTCATCATCATCATTATTATTAATAATTATTCTTGAGATAGGATTCTATTTATGTGACTCTCCTGTGGTTCTCTAGGTCTCTAATTCCTGTCTTGTGCTGGGGGGCCTTATCAGATAGCAGATGTGTTTACGGACTTGTGGGTTCCCTTGGGAAGGTGCATAAGAAAGACCATCCTAGGCAGAAGGCCTAGGATGCATAGGAAGCATCAAGGTGACAGGTAGGTGGAGATGTGAAGGTCGCAGGTTCTGGGAAGGAAAGGATGCCTTTAAAAAAAAATGAAAAATAAAAAAACAAGGAGAGATGGCTCAGTGGTTAAGAGCACTGACTGCTCTTCCAGAGGTCCTGAGTTCAATTCCCAGCAATCACATAGGTGGCTCACAACCATCTGTAATGGGATCTGATGCCCTCTTCTGGTATGACAGTGTACTCAAATAAATAAAATAAATCTTAAAAACAAAACAAAGAGAGAAACTAGAGCCCAAGATGAGCTCAGCAGGTAGACTACCTGTCCAGGTATTGGGGTCGATCCTGCCTACCACAGTGAAATAGAAACTTTAGAGAGAGACAGATTGGGATACAGGGGCTTCTGGCTGTGGTTCCCAGACCCTACCAGTGCACCTTAGGAGCCTCTAGGAGACTTCTGAGGCTTTGGGTTGTAGAATGTTAAAGGGGAGAAGCCCAGGCTTCCTACCAGCTCTCTTCTAAAGCAGCTGAAATGGAGGTGGGTATGACATCTCACAACAGGAAACTCTCACAACAGGAAACTCTCACAACAGAAAACACCCACAGGAAACACACACAACCTGGAAATCCTGCCTGGGTGTGTATTCACAGAAAATCAGATAAAGAAAAAGCAAAGCCAGGAGATGGTGCCTAGGCCTTGGAAGGCAGGCAGATCTCTGTGAGTCAAGGCCAACCTGTTCTACAGAGTGAGTTCCAGGAGAGCCAAGGCTACACAGAGAAACCCTGTCTCGAAAAACCAAACAACAACAACAAGATGCAGTTCAAATACATATAAGAATTTGATACAATTCCATGAAATCTTACTTGACTATAAAATGAAATTTCATGCCATTTTTAAGCAAAATGTAATTATGACATTGTGAGAGATGGATACAACTGAAATCAGTACACTAAGAAGCAAGCCTCAGAAAGACAAATATATTTCTCATCTCTGGAACTCCCGTTTAAAATAATAATAATAATTATTATTATTATCATTACTATTTTTGTGCTGGGTATGATGGTGCACACCTGTAATCCCAGCATTTGGGAGGTGGAGGCATAAAGATCAGAAGTTCAAGGCCAGCCTCAGCTACATGAGCCCCTGTCTCAAAAATAAACATTTAAAAACAAACATAAAATTATACACACATGTGTATATGTGCTTTTAAATATATGGGAGGACTGTAAAACAAGATGGAAACATGGAAGAGATCATAAAGGAAGCAGGTGATATGGAACATGTGATAAAACAGAAGCAGCAGAGCCGGGTTTAACTAGGAAAGAAACGGAAGCAGATGGAGAAGGGGCAGGAGCATAGGATGAGCAGTGGTGGGGGCAGGGGGGGAAGCACAAGGTATAAAGTCTAATAGCAGAGGCTGCAGAAGTGGTTCAAATGGTAACAAAGTCTAATGGCAAAGGCTACAGAGGTGGTCCTAATGGTAACAGTCTAATGGCAGAGGCTACAGAGGTGGTTCAAATAGTAACAAAGTCTAAAGCAGAGGCTGTGGAGGTGCTTCACTAGCAAAGGATACATACTGCTCTCGCAAAGGGAGAAGCTCAGTACAACCACCCATAACTCTACTTCCAGGGATCAGAAACCGTCTCCTGGCCTCCGTGTGTGTGTGCTCCGTGTGTGTGTGTGTGTGTGTGTGTGTGTGTGTGTGTGTGTGTGTGTACATAACATACATTAAGTACCTGCACGAGTCAGAAGAGGGCATCAGATACCCTGAGACTAGAGTTACAGAGGGTTGTTAACAGCCATGTGGGTATGAGAACTAAACTTGGATCCCTAAAATAATCTTTACAAAAAGAAAAAAAGGCTTGGGTCAGTGGGAGAGTAGCTGTCCAGCATGCAGAGCCCTGAGTTCAACCACACACACCCCAGCACTTAGAATACAAAGTGACCCTGTACCCAAGCATAATACACATGTGTACAAATATGCTAAGATGAAACCCGTTACTTTGTATCCTTAACTTCTTTAACTAACTAAAAACAAAGTCAAAACTCTGATATGGGGAGAACAAGGTGTTTCAGCTTCATATGTGCACCACACACAGAAAGTACCTTTGGGGGCGATGGGCAGAAGGCATCAGATCCCCTGGGGCTGGAGGTAGAAAGGTTGGGAGAGGCAATGTGGATGCTGGGAATTGAACCCAGATCCTCTATAAGAGTGACCAAAGCTCTTAACCACCGAGCCATCTCTCCAGCCCCTTACGTTGATTCTCTGAATTATCCCAGTGCACAGTGTGGAGTCCAAGGCTCTTGGCTGGTGGGGTTGCCATGAAGTGTTCTCATTTATGTCTGCGCACCCCGTCTCTTCCAGAGCCGGGGCCTCACTCAGCGCCTCACACTAAATCCTATTCTCACCCCAGGATCACACTCTCTACACTATTCTTACTCATCCGTGACTGAGCCGGGCCCAGGAGTCCCCGCATTTTTTGCCAGTGGCTTTGTAGATAACCAGCCCTTCATCCACTTCGACAGCAGGAACATGAAGGCAGAGCCTTGTGCTTACTGGCTGAGGGAAAATCCACAGTACTTTGCTCATGAGACCCAGGTTTTCACCAATCGGATGAAGATTTTCCAGTTGAGCCTGAGAAACATTCAGAAATACTACAACTACTCTGGTGCCCAGAGTCAGAGAGCATATGGCTCCCACCAGCAAGCAGGTATGTGCCTGGAAATGGAGGCAGGAAAACTTAACTTCCTCACCTAATCCCTCAGTGCCCTAACAGACTGCCCCTTGAGAACAGGCTGGCCACATCTGCTCCCAGAGCTCAGGGTCTGTTTGACATTCACCTGTCAAATGAGTCACAGGTGTACACACAGCATGCATCTTTTTTGGGAGGCAGGAACCAGGAAACATAAGTAACCATTTGTCTTCAAAGTGTTTACAACTTCTATGGGAAGGTACTCAGACCCTTGTGACCCCGAGGCCTGTGCCTCTTTGAAACCCAAATGAGACCCACAAACATTTGCCATCACTGACTGAAGCAAGCAGAAGAGACACCCGGTGACAGCCAGTTTCAAAACTGAGACGAAACTTTAACTAAAACCAGAGGATGGGTCCAATATGCATCTAAGAGGAATACAGAACACAGCCATGGTGATTCACACTGTAATTCCATCCAGCACTGGGAAGGCTGAGGCAGGATGGCTGCCTCAAGCTCAAGGCCAGTTTGGGCTACACACAGTAAATTCCATGCCAGTCTGAGCTAAAGCATGTCAGAGAGAGAGAGAGAGAGAGAGACAGAGCTCAGCACTACTGAAACAAGTCTGTGAAGGGCCTTTAGGCCAGTGTGGAACTATTGATAGATGAGGTTGCTGATCCTAAAACGATCAGAGATTCCACAAGACTGGCCACGACTGGCCACGTAAGTGGTCACACCTTGAGAAACTCACTGTGTGGAAGAAGACACACACACAGTCCCGTTGGAGGATGTAAGCATTGGCTAAAGAGTTTGGCCCTGAAACCCGTGGGGCAGAGGAGACTCTAAGCCAGCCAAACAATCAGTTACATTGGGCTTTTCAAGACAGGGATTCAAGCAGCCCAAGCTGGCCTCTGATTCACCACTGTGTAGCTCAGCATGACCCTCCGCCTGCACCTCCTCGGGTACGGGATTGCAAGCATGCATCACTACACCCAATAAATCAGTGCCTGCATTCTCTAGAACCTCAAGGAGAAACATTGAGCACAGTGTGTCCTTTACCATCATGCTTGTGTGCCATACTCTACTCCCGGGAGGTTACCCCTGGACTCTGGGACTTTGTGCACCAGAGTCCTCTGGTCATGCTCTAGGCTTGTGCACAAGTGAACAGAGCCACAGAGGGTGAATGACCTGTGTGATGACACAGCAAAGCCCAAGTTCTAGCTGCCTATCCAATGCTGTTTTACTATGACCTGAAGCATCTTGGGCCTTGCCCCTGACAGAGCTTACAGCACCTCAAAGGCATCAGTGGAAAGCCAGACTAGGTTATCTAGAGTGTGAACATCTATCCTCTATGGAGAATCTCAGGAATCTGGGAAGCAGTGGTAGGGCAGCAGGGACCAGGCTGGAGAGGCCTGGGAAATACATCTGTGGTCACTGACATGCCTGTCCCGGGGGCTTCTAGGCCCTCACACCCTCCAGTTCACATACGGCTGTGAGATTCGGGACAACAGGACCACAGGACACTGGCAATATGGCTACGATGGCAGGGATTACCTGACATTGGATTTGGACTCAATGCAATATACAGCAGCCACCTTCATTGCTGGTTACACCAAGCGCAAGTGGGAAAACAATGAGTACTGGCTGGAGAGAGAGAAGACCTACTTGGAGAAGGAGTGCATCCTATGGCTGCAGAAATACTTAACCATGGGAGGAAAGAACTTTACCCGAACTGGTAATGACACCCCCTCCAAGCCCAGCCCTCCTCCCTGTGGCCAGCAGGGCGAGAGCTCACTCTGTAGTTGGGGGGCTCCTGTAGGAATGTAGGCTACCTGGGCGGGTCCAGTGTGCTGGGGGTAGCTTCCCACAGCAGATGTCAGTGGTCACCTGCTACCTCTGTAGTCTCTCAATGTGTCCCAAGGGTACTCGGCGGTGTCTCCTACTTCTACCTTTTCCACTGGAGACAACAGCATCTGTCTGTCTGTCTACTGCAGACCCTCCGCAGACAATAGTGACCTATCACCCCAGACCTGAAGGTGATGTCACCCTGAGGTGCTGGGCCCTGGGCTTCTACCCTGCTGACATCACCCTGACCTGGCAGTTGAATGGGGAAGAGCTGACCCAGGACATGGAGTTTGTGGAGACCAGGCCTTCAGGGGATGGAACCTTCCAGAAGTGGGCATCTGTGGTGGTGCCTTCTGGGGAGGAGCAGAGATACACATGCCGTGTGGAGCATGAGGGGCTGCCTGAGCCCCACACCCTGAGATGGGGTAAGGAGAGAACAGGAGCACAGAGCCTATTGCCAAGGAAAGCAGAAGTCCTTCTGGAGTCCCTGAGCAGAGCCAGGGCCCTCCATCTTTCTTTTCCCTTCCCAGAGCCTCTTCAGCTCACCATGACGCCCACAACAGGAGGATGTGTTAGCAGAAGATGTGGACCTCAAGCGATCACCCTGCATGTCCTTGTGTTTCTTTCATCTGGCATAGTCATAGGACTTGTGTTTCCTGGACTTACCTGCTCATAATTCGGGTAAGAAAAAAGGAGGTCTGGGCGTGCTGTGTTGGAAGTGGGGGGTCAAAAGTCAAGCTGAAACTCTTGCCATTGGGCCAGCATAGTGACCTTCTGTGGTGTAGCAAAGGCTGGAGGACCGGTAGGATGAGATACTGCAGGTGAGAGGTGTTGGAGACTATTACACCATGGAGGCCAGCCCACGCACCCCAACACCGAGACTATTACACCACCCAGGCCGGCCCAGACACCCAGCACCAAGGACAACCGCTGGTATGTCTGCTTCCAGCCTCCAGGATCTCTCCCTGAGCATGGATGCTCCCATGTCTGTATGCAGGTTCCAGGAGCAGCACGTGTGAGACCCAAAGCTCCTGTGAAGTGAGCCTGCTTCTCATGGGATAAAATGTCTCTGGCTCTCCTCCCTCAAATGCCTGAAATTCTTAGAAGAGATTTAGTGGAAATTAGTCAGGTTCTCGAGTGTACCGGTGAATCTGAGACACGCATGTAACAGAAGCTATGTGTGTGTGTGCGCGCATTTGTGTGTATAATAAGATACCTGAGTGACTATGTGACTACAAGGGTCTGTATGAGAATTGTGGCCTTTTACACGAATATGTGCATTTGTGTACATAGCATGTATGTGCATATACACGTTTTGCTCTCAGATATCCTCACAGTTAACTTCATACTGGTTGTTCCCACCCTGCAGGCCAGAAGAAAGTACTGGGCTGCTCCATCTGTTCCTGAAGATGAGAGGTTCTCTGGATGAGGACCCAGGAACCCTAAGACTCTGCTGAGCCTTAGTTTGCTGGAGACCCCCCCCTGAGTGAACAATGCAGAGCTGGGAGATGTTGCAACAGCAAGAGGAATTTATTATTCCAGCATGCTGGGGTCATCCTGCATCCAAAAGGAGAAGCAACCCTGTGCAGCTCGTTCAAAGGTTTCAATAGAGGTGGTGGCGCACGCCTTTAGTCCCAGCACTTGGGAAGCAGAGACAGGTGGATTTCTGAGTTCGAGGCCAGTCTGGTCTACAGAGTGAGTTCCAGGACAGCCAGGGCTACACAAAGAAACCCTGTCTCGAAAAACCAAAAACCAAACCAAAACAAGAAAACAAAGGTTTCCATAGATTTGTGGCCATCAGTCCCAAGCCCCCTCCCTCCCATTAGATGAAGAAAAGAAACTCAAGCAGGGCAGTGGTGGTGCACGCCTTTAATCCCAGCACTTGGGAGGCAGAGGCAGGTGGATTTCCGAATTCGAGGCCAGCCTGGTCTACAGAGTGAGTTCCAGGACAGCCAGGGCTACACAAAGAAACCCTGTCTCGAAAACAAAAACAAAGATTTATTTATTTTATTTATATGATTACACTGTATCTGTCTTCAGACACATCAGAAGAGGGCATCAGATCCCATTACAGATGGCTGTGAGCCATTACATGTGGTTGCAGGGAATTGAACTCAGGATCTCTGGAAGAGCAGTCAGTGCTCTTAACTGCTGAGCCATTTCTCCAGCCCTAAAGAACAAATTCTAAATTCCTAGAAGCAGCCCCCAAAGCTCTCCATGTTCCTCCAAAACCCTAACAAATACAGGCCGGCTCACAGTTTCAGAGGTTTATTTTATTTTCATGATGGTGGGAAACATGGAGATGTGCAGGTTGACATGGTGCTGGAGAAGGAGCTGAGAGTTCTACATCCAGATCTGCAGGCAGCAAGAAGAGAATCGCACGCTAGACCGCCTGCCTCTGCCTCCCAAGTGCTGGGATTAAAGGCGTGCGCCACCACCGCCCGGCAAATAAATAAAACTTAAAAAAGAAAAGAAAATGCTTTGTTCCTTGACTACTCTGTTAATGCCCTACGACTGATCCTATTCTTTGCATGTAGCTAGAATGATATAAAAGCAGGCCAGAAAAAAAATAAAGCTGCTTCAGCCTTAGCACTGGCTGGACTCATGTTATAGTGTTGTCTAATTGTCTTTTTCTTTTCCATCCTCACTCCCTCACTCAAGACCCTGACTGAGCTGGCTTGGTCAGAGGGAAAGGTTTATTTAGCTTACATTTCCACGGTACTATTTGTTCATCACCAAAAGAAATCACAACAGGAACTCACACAGGACAGGAACTTGGAGGTAGGAACTGATGCAGAGGCCATGGATGGGTGCGGCTTCCTTCACGTGACCTAATCAGCCTGCTTTCTTATAGAACCCAGGACCACCTGCCCAGGCTTGGTATCACTCACCACGGGCTGGGCCCTCTCCCACTGATCGGTAATTGAGAAAATGCCTTACAGTTGGATCTCATGGAGGCATTTCCTCAACTGAGGCTTCTCTCTCTGATGACTAACTTATCTGACACAAAATCATCCTTACAACCGATCCCTTGTCAACATGGCACACACATCATTAAAGCCACAGCTCTTCCTTTCTTGTTCAGTAATTTTAAAAATCCCATGGTTTTTACAAATTCAAATACATTACATTTTCAAGTCCCTTTAAAATAGCCAATCTCTCTTAAAACTCAGTCTTTTAAAATTCAAAGTCTCACCGGGCAGTGGTGGCACACGCCTTTAGTCCCAGCACTTGGGAGGCAGAGGCAGGTGGATTTCTGAGTTCGAGGCCAGCCTGATCTACAGAGTTCCAGGACAGCCAGAGCTACACATAGAGAAACCCTGTCTCGAAAAACAAAAATCAACAAACAAAATATACACACACACAAAAATAAGAGGGCATTTTTACATACTAAGAAGATAGAAAATATACAGCTCTTAACCACTGAGCCATCTTTCAGCCCCTGCAACCATATCATGGAATACAGAAGTAACTGTAACCATACCTCCTGCCCCTCACCAGTTCTAGAGTTCAGAAGTTTAAATCTAGCTTGTCTGCCTCATCTTGTAACAACTGGCAACAGAATTTGGGTCCTCTGCAAGAGCAGTACACATTCTTAAGTGATGAGCCATCCCCCCAACCCCTGCATCTTCCATCTCTGTTGACTTGTGTTGACAGGCATCATGAACTCTGCCATGAATTCTAAACATGTCCCAGCAACCATAAAAGTCAGCCTGGGACTGATCTCCAGTAAGTCACTGAGCTAGCGGCTTCCAGTCCTTGGCTTGAGACCCTGTCCTCCACCATCAAAGCTAACAGCTTAGTACATAGGTTCTCTCCAATCTGAACATCCTCTCTCAAAAAACGCTGGCTTGCCTGCCTCTTCTGTAACACTATTCTATGTCACTGGTCCTTCTCAGCTGCCCGATGTCCTCCCTCTCTTTACATTCCATCTGCAAGTCCCAGTTTCCATATAAAGTGACACTGGGTAATTTTATGTCAACCTGACACAGGCTGGAGCCATCTAAGAGGAGGGAACCTCAGCTGAGAAAAGACCTCCACTCGTTCAGGCTGCACGCAAACCTGAAGGGCATTTTACTAATTACTGATTGATGGGGAGGCCCCGCCCATTGTGGGTGGGGCCACCCCTGGGCTGGTCCTGGGTTCTGTAAGAAAGCAGGCTGAGCAAGCTATGGTGAAAAAGCCAGTAGGAAGCACCCCTCCATGGTCTCTGTATCAGCTCCTGTCTCCAGGTTCCTGTCCTGCTTCAGTACCTGCCCTCAATGCTTTTGATGATGAACTATTATTTTAAACTCTTTCCAAGTCAAGCTGCATTGGTCACGATGCTTCATCACTGCAATCGTAGCCCTAACAAAGACAAGCATGCTCACAGTCTGTAAAGATCAGAATATGGACATCGTTGGGGATCATAACTCTGCCTATGAAACTTTTTCTTCAAGAAACCAGAAATTGTATTATTTTTTGTGTGTGTTCAGATGCTTTGCCTGTGTTAGTATGTATATACCATATGCCTACAATGCCCCTGGCAGCCAAAATAGGGTACTGTATCCCTTGGGACCAGAGGTCCAGAGAGCTGCCATGTGGGTGCTGTGGGTCAAACCCAGGTCCTCTGGAAGAGCAGCCAGCGCTCTTAACTGCTGAGCCAACGCTCCAGCCCTGAGATGAATTTTATCTTTCAGTATTTGTGCTGCAAGGAGCGACGTGTTGAGGAAAGCACACAGAGTGGAGGTGCTGGAGTGTTACAGAGAAGGGGAAGCTGGCTGTGCTACTATAGATTTGGGGAAGGGAGGACTGGATTATTTTCTTGCTTGTTTCTTGGTTTTCTGAAATAATGTCTCATACAGCTTAGGATAGCTTTAAACTCATTAGGCAGCCCAGACTAGCCCTAAGCTCTTGATCATCCTCCTGTCTCAGGATTACAGACCCACACCAAAACCAACCAGCCCTGGGAGGGGACCTTTAGGGATCTCTCCAACACAGCACATCCTTAAGAGAGGCATGTGGCACTAGTGTTATTGTGTTTGCAGGCACCACTCAGGGGTCTGCTTAGTTACCAGTCTATTTCAGTGGTAAAGCACCACGACCACAGTAGCTTATCAAAGGAAGCTTTTAATTTGGCACCCATGGTTCCAGAGAGTTAGGAGTCCATAGCCATCATGCGGGCAGGCGGGCTTCGTGCCTGAACAGCAGCTGAGGACTCTCAAGAGAGCTATCAGGAAACGTACTGGGTGGGCTTTTGAAACCTCCAAGCCTGCCCCTAGTGATACACCTCTCCTCTAACAAGGCCACACCTCCTAATCCTTCCCAAGCAGTTCCACCAACTCCAAGTCTTCAAATACATGAGCCTACAGAGGCCATTCTTCTCATTCAAACCACCACAGGACACAAGGAACAGGTTCATCCAAGTGGGCAAGGAGACACGAGGACGAACAGCATCAAGTGAGCAGCATCAGGGGACTTTGCAGCTGCCTTTCAATCCCTTAGTCATGGGTGGGGTTGGTGGAGGGATGACTAGCTGGAATTTTGTGGTGAGGATCAGGTTTATCACAGTGGCCCACACAGCCAGCTAACACATTAGGAAACTATGCTAAGCATAGTTGAGAGGGAGGAGCACGAAAGGCTTCCATGAAAACCCATATGCCCATTTCAAGCCCTTTCTCCCCAAAAAAAGTAACAGCCAAGATAGAAAGCCACCAAAATGAACTCTTAAAAGTGTGATTGGGGTGGGGCGGGCTGGAGAGATGGCTCAGCAGTTAAGAGGACCGACTGCTCTTCCAGAGGTCCTGAGTTCAATTCCTAGCAACCACATGGTGGCTCACAACCATAGGATCTGATGCCCTCTTCTGGTGTGTCTGAAGACAGTGACAGTGTACTCATATGAATAAAATAAATAAAGTTTTTTAAAAACTGTGATACGGACACTGAAGTATGGGGATGCTGAAGTATGGCTCTCCACAGCTGATTCCTTCTGGTGGGTGTGGGAGAGGAAGGACTCAGTTCTAAGGGGTAGACTACTGAGAGTTTGACCATGCTCCACACAACGCAAATTGGGCCCTTTTTTTAATTTTTATTTTTCATATTTTTATTTTTACTTTTCTTTGGGGGGGGTCAAAAGGGTGAGGGGCGTGGAAGGACTGGGAAGTGAGTCTGATAGGGGTGTATAATGTGAAATTCCCAGAGAATCAATACAGATGGTTTGTGAAAGAAAGAGAGAAAGAAAGAAAGAAAGAGAACAAGAGAGAAAGAAAGAGAAAAAGGGGAAAAAAGAAGAAAAAGAAAACAAGAAAACAAGAAAGAAAGAAAGAAAGAAAGAAAGAAAGAAAGAAAGAAAGAAAGAAAGAGAGAGCGCGCAAAGCCAGGGCTACACAGAGAAACCTTGTCTCAAAAAACCAAAAA